TTCTCCCATTCCTGGTTCTCCCATTCCTAGTTCTCCCATTCCTAGTTCTCCCATTCCTAGTTCTCCCATTCCTAGTTCTCCCATTCCTAGTTCTCCCATTCCTAGTTCTCCCATTCCTAGTTCTCCCATTCCTAGTTCTCCCATTCCTAATTCTCCCATTCCTGGTTCTCCCATTCCTCATTCCCCCATTCCCACTTCCTTGTTTTAAAGATAACCCTTGGGAACATTCTTATTTAAGTCTGATTGTTTTACAGCTATTGAAAAAAACCTCAATGATACACTGGATAAAGGAGATTTCGATGCTATTAAGAAAGAAGTGACTCCAAAAACCTTGTCAAGTTGTAAAACTAACACCTTATTCCAAGCTTTCCAGGTTGGTCCTATTGCGTAATCTTAACTGATTTTACTGGTATACTTTAGCCTTTTTAGCCTTTTCGCCTCTTGTGATCCCTGATTACTGAGTTGGTTTTTACTACTTCTTGTAAGTTCTTCATACTCTTACTACCTGTAACTGCAGTAATCGTAACCTCACAACACCACCATGATAAAGACGATTTATTCGGTGCGAGTGATGTTGACGGTATGTGGGTTGAAACTTAAAACAATAAATGACTACGAAATTACAACAATTGACCAGTAAAAGTGACAGGAAAGAAATACACTGAACCACTGAACAAACTTGAAATGACAATACTTACATTCATACGATTTCTACGAAACTGCCGGATGAATATAAACTGCCCAAAGGCGAAATAAAGATAAACTGGAGTAACTGCTCAAAGCGAACTAATGTATAGCTATAATGGAAGACTAAACTCTGAACTGTGAAAGACTAAGTTATATATGCGAAAATGACTAGCTAACTTAAAGTACAATTAACGCCGATATTATGAAAGAAACTAATGAAGGAAAATACGTGACATAGAAACAACAGAAGCTAACTAACCAGCGAAAAAATACTAACGAACGACGAGAAAGAGCGACAACACAAAGAGATACCCTAATGATTGATTCAATGAGAAAAACAAACAAAAAAAACATTCCGCGCGCTAAGACCCTACACGTCGGCCCCTCAGTGCTGAGTTTTGGAAGCACTTACACATCTACTAATTTGGGTCTAAGCAAAAAACTCTTAGCATACATGTTATTTGTAAGAAAAACCTTACAAATCTCTCGTCAAGGTCTCTGAAACTATAGTAACAAGGAAAATTCTAAAACAGTGCTTTCATTGTTGGACAATCTCTTATTCCTTTCTTTTTACCAATAACACAAGCTTGTCTACGGGACGCTCAACAATGGAGGACTTAACGTTGTCCTTAACTTTGCGAACGAATCCCTTTTTATCCGGAAAGACCTCTTGAATTCTTCCTAGTGGCCAGGAATTCCAACTGGTGTTCTCAGCAGAAACTAAAACAACGTCTCCAACTACGAGGTTTCTGCCTGGATGTAGCCATTTCTGTCGACTCTGTAGCAAAAGTAGGTACTCTTTAGACCACCTCTTCAAGAATATATCGGACAGATATTGGATTTGCCACCATCTCCGCCTAGAGAACAGATCTTCCTTTTGGAAAACGCCCGGGGGCATGGGTGAATCAAATTTTGAGCAACAGTAGATGATTCGGTGTGAGGGGCTCTACGTCTCTAGGGTCGTCGGAGACCACAGTGATAGGGCGGCTGTTTAAAATACTTTCTACTTCACACATAAGGGTGCTAAGACTTTCATAGTCTGTTGTTTGCTCCTGGAGAAGGGTGCAAAGTGTTTTTCTAACAGAGCGAATGCATCGCTGCCAAATGCCTCCATGCTTTGAGCAGTACGGTAGATTCAAATTCCATTTGACGTTTCTCTGTAACATCTCATCCGAAATCTTGTCCTGGTTCTAGGCCTGGATTGACTCACGTAGCTCACGCTCTCCGCTTGTAAAGTTTTACCCGTTGTCCTAACGTATCTCTTTAACCTGGCCTCTTCTTGCAATGAGTCTTCTAAGTGCGAGCAGGAATGAGTCGGTGTCGCGGCTATGGGCCACTTCAATATGAACCGCGCGAACTGTTAGGCATGTAAAGATAACACCATATCTTTTAACGAGGCTTCTGGAACGGCGCACTTGAAAGGGGCCAAAACAATCCACTCCAACTGTCGTGAATGGCGGCTTGTCGGGAACCAAGCGATCGTTCGGCAGATCAGCCATTTTCTGTTTGCAAAAGGGTGCTTCGTGGTTACGACAGCTATAGCAACTCGTCAGGACTCTTCTCACCATAGAATTTCCTTGGATAGTCCAGTATTTCTGGCGTATCATACTCAACACATGCTGTCTTCCTGAATGACAAATAAACCGTAGGCCCCGTCTCATGCAGGGTTAGGGGTAGGAGACGTTAATTTCCCACGCACGAGATTACTGTGTGGTGGATGTCCTCCCCTTGGTGGGATGGGCGGGTGTTGGCCCTGAAAAGCCCCTATGGGGAGTGGTCAATTAACCTTTGTATGTATGTATGTATATATGAAATGACCTGAAAGCTTGTGAAAATGGTCGATGATAAGGCTTGGGACGTGGTTCTTTTTGGGCAGGATTATTTGGTGCTATGCGTAATACGAGGTGCGAGCACGAGCCAATCTTCCACCCACACGCAACAAACCGTCCTCCAGAATCGGGTCCAGTTTGAAAAGGCAACTGCTACGTTTAACGCGTTTGCTACCGCTGGATTTATTGAGCTCATCGAAATCATCTGGAAAGGCTTCTTATTGGACATTTTTCAAAATTGCTTTCTCGGCATTTTCCATTTCTTCAAGATTAATTGGTGAATGTTTCTCTTGTGAGGTCTTCGGCTGGTCGCTTCCTTTCTACCCTTAGCCGCCATCAGGAGATTGTTTCGATAGCGTAAGATCCAAGCGAACGACTTCTTTAAGCTATACCAGCTAGAGAACCTCTGGAAATAACCTGATAAAATTGGCAAGACCAAAACCAGCTGCTGCTGCTGCTGCTGACAAATTCTCGTTGAACTCCACCACTGGATAAGGTTTAACTTCCGGGTCTCGGTTCTGAATAGCAATTGTAGCACCAAGTTCTTTTATCCAGTGATGCTCAGGATTCCATAGTAACTCCGGCCCCAATAGCCCTTTCTCGCAGTTAAACAAAGCATCAGCTGATAGTCCTCTAGAAGTGTGGTCACCAGGATTAATGGTTCCCTCCAAGTGATACCAATGGTCAGGGTTTGAGCCATCTCGGTTCGCAACGACAGTGTGGAAACGCCGGTTCTTGTTCTTCACATAGCGAAGTGCGGACATGCTATCGATCCAGAAGACAGAAGGGTCGCAGATTGGCATTTCGATCTCTCTTTTAAACATCTTGTCTTGACAGATGGGTAGGCTCGCAGCGGATAACTCTAAACGGGGAATAGAGACAGCCTTCAAAGGAGCCAGGCGAGACTTTGCAAAGAAGAACGAACAGTGAACTCTCCTTTCCCCATTAACCAAATGCAGATAAGAAACTGATCCATACGCAACTTCCAACGCATCGGAGAAGTGATGTAGTTGACTGGATAGCACGGGACCAAAACCCTCGGGTAGCACGGAGCGGTTGACGGAAAACAATGAAAGCCTCAGGAGATCGTCCATCCAATTACGCCAACTTAAAGCGTATTCGGGCGGATGTTCTTTGTCCCATCCTATTTTGATGCGGCAAAGATCCTGCAGGATTTGTTTAGCAACCAATACAAAAGGTGCAATGAAGCTCAAGGGGTCGAAAACGCTGCTGACCACGGAAAAAATGCCTCTGCGTGTTGGGGGCCGCGGTTTAAGGCACATTTCAAAGGTGAAGGTGTCCAATTCCACGTCCCATTTCATACCTAGCGCCCGTTGGGCAGGCAATTCATCTTTTTGGAAGTCGAGCTTCCTCAACTCTGTACAACGTTCTGACTCGGGAATGGCTTGGAGGACTTCTCGACTATTGCTGACCCATTTCGTTAGCCTAAAACCGCCTCTTGCAGGCAAAGCTTGCAGATTATTGACATGGGCAATGGCAACGGCCACTGAGAGTAAGGACTTAAGGCAATCATCTACATAAAAGTTTCTCTTCACGGTTTTTACCACTTCGGTGGGGAAGTAACTCTTGTTGTCTTCTGCAGTTCGTCAAAGGGCGAAATTTGCGCACGCCGGAGGCGATATGGCGCCGAACAGATGAACCAGCATCTGATACTCTTGCACATCACGAGTCATTTTTCCGTCGTCCCACTAAAGGAAGCACAGAAACGAGCTGTCGCGGTCAGGAGCACGAACCTGATAGAACATGGCTTCTATGTCCGCCATAACTGCAACTCTATCCTCGCAAAACCTTGTCAGCACCCCAACAAGTGAATTTGTCAAGTCGGGTCCCTTGTCTAACATACCATTTAGTAACCCCATAAACTTTGCTAAACAGTCGAAAAGTACTCTAATCTTCCCGGGCTTGTGGGGATGGTAGATCCCATGGTGAGGTATATGCCATGCGTCACCCTCCTTAGGATTCATCTGAATCGCGGGAACTTTACTTGCATAACCCTTGGCAACCAATTCTCTCATGAAGACCTTGTAGTCGCCCTACAACCTGTTATCCTTTTCCAACTTTTTCTTTAACCAGCCGATCCGCACCAAAGCTTTTGACTTCTTGTTGGGGACCAAGACCAAATTATTCTTGAAAGGCAAAGGGATTTCGTAATGCCCTTTAGCTGTATTTTCTCAACACTCTGGATGAAACGGCGTTCTTCTTGCGACATCTCCGTCGTATCATCAGAAAAGGAGTCGGCAAAATCGCGATTTTAAAAGTTTTCTATCACGCGCTGAAGCTGGGGGTCAACTTTGACAAAGAAGCTTACAGCCTGGGATCCATGGCGACGATGTCCCAAGGGACCGTTCACTGCCCAACCAATGCGTGTTCTTGATGCATAGGGGCCACCGTTTTCACTGTGCCTTATCTCGACCGGATCGAGCGCCTCCGAAACGTCACTGCCAATTAGGAGTCCGATCTCAGCATCACAGGGAAGTACAAAAACACCATCTAGATGGGGCCACTGATCCGCATCCTCCTGGGTCGGAATATCTTCCTCAGAAACCGGAATCTCGAGTCTCTTGTAAAGCGCGGGAAGATTGACAAAATTGTTCTCATCTAGATCAGAGGACACCACCAGGGCCCGGATGAGGTAACTTTCAAGCGGACTGTTCTTTATCTCCAAGGTGGACAGAGAAATCGTCACTTTTGATTTTTCAACCCCAATTTTTCTCATTAACGATTCCGTACAGAAGGTGGCACTGCTTCCACTGTCGAGAAAGGAGTGCGTGATGATTGTCTGATTGTTAGCCCTGGAACGCACTTTAACGAGGATGACGGCCATAGCTGTCCTACGACGGGCTTCTTCATTACTGCTCTTAAGCTTGGGACAATTGTCTGTATTGATCATGGCATTCAAGACAGGAATGTCAGTACTGCCCCCAGTTCCGACGCCAATATCTACTGTGATTTTCTCACGATTAGTCGACATATGAGGGACTCTGGGATGCTTTCGAGTGCAGTTAGGGAATTCGCAGGTTTTTCTTTCATTTCAGACTCTTGCGATGTGCTTGTCAGACAAACAGACAAAGCAGAGCCTCTTTGCAGAGTGGAACTTGATCCGCTCTTTATAGGGCTTCCATCTAAGCACATGACAGTCTTCTAGTGCTTGGTTCCTCTGGAAAAATGGACACGAGCTGGGTTGAACGCTATCGCAGGTAGGGTAGCTGCTAGTAGACTGTTCTGAATTCACGTCTTTATTGTTCTTAACCTGGGCGACAAAGATTGACGTCTTGGGATTAGATGGTTTTAAGCCAGCTGGTAATTGTGACGTTCTGCGTGACCTTTGATCGGAGCTGGATTGCGCGTTGGCTGAGATTTTCCCCAACCTTGGATTGGCAGCAATCCTTGCCTCACGATTAACAAAGGTAACGAGGTCACTAAAACTTTACTGGTCTTGACTCTATCTCCATAATGTCATCTGCACAGCGACGCCACCTCTCTCTCTTGCTGAACGGCAGTTTGAAGACCAACTTCTGGATGCTCCCTGGCTGGTCCCTGGCTGCTATTCGGTCGTCTCACGCGGGTTGACCTTCTTCGAGAATCTGGCTCAGTGGCGTATCCATGCCTTCACGGCGACGCGTAAACAATTTTCAATGATATGTAACTGCAGTAATCATAACCTCACAACACCACGGTGATAAAGACGATTTATTCGGTGCGAATGATGTTGATGGTATGTGGGTTGAAACTTAAAACAATAAATGAATACGAAATTACAACAATTGACTAGTAAAAGTGACAGGAAAGAAATACACTGAACCACTGAAAAAACTTGAAATGACAATACTTACATTGTTATGATTTCTACGAAACTGCTGGATGAATATAAACTGTCCAAAGGCGAAATAAAGATAAACTGGAGTAACTGCTCAAAGCGAACTACTGTATGGCTAATGGAAGACAAAACTCACACTTGAGAAGACTAAGTTATATATGCGAAAGTGGGGGGCGCGGTGGCCTCATGGTTGTGCTCGACTTCGGATCGAGGGGTCCGGGTTCAAGCCTCGGCCGGGACACTGTGTTGTGTTCTTAGGCAAGAGACTTTACTCTCACAGTGCCTCTCTTCACCCAGGTGTACAAATGGGTCCCGGCGAATTTAATGCTTGAGGTAACCCTGCGATGGACTAGCATCCCATCCAGGGGGGAGTAGAAATACTCCTAGTTGCTTCATGCTACGGAAACCGGAGTTAAGTGCCGGCCCGACGAGCCACATGGCTCACGTGTAGGCTTTATCTTTTTCTTTTTTCATATATGCGAAAACGACTTGCTAACTCAAAGTGCAATTAACGCCGATTTTACGAAAGAAACTAATGAAGGAAAATACGTGACATAGAAACAACAGAAGCTAACTAACCAGCGAAAAAATACTAACGAACGACAAGAAACAGCGACAACACAAAGAGGTACCCCAGTGGTTGATTGAATGAGAAAAACAAAAAAACGTTCCGCAGGCTAAGACAATACACTACACTCTCGACGATTTAACTTAAAAACTACAAATAATTGCAACTTGTTTACTCTCATTGCATTTGTTTCTTGGTCAACCTTGGATTATCATTAGCTAGCAGTGATATCTGTCTTTTTTTTACTAGTTATCGAGACTACAACAATATTATATATAGAGACCGACACGAAGTCAGAATCTTCGTCAAAGGCACAGCAATCTTATAGAGCTGTATGATTAAGGTAATAAATGCATTTCTTCTATAGGTAAACAAAAAACTTCGACGTTTAGCAGATCGTAAAGGCCCGGAGAAAGACGACATAGAAAAGCTGGCAAAATCTGTGGATGAGTTCACTTTAGCCTTGGTTGATCCTCTTAAATCCAACGCCGATACCAGACATAAATTTCAAAGTTTTTTCGACAGTGTGGTAGACGAGGCAATTGACACGCGGCAGAAAAAGGTACAACGCGAGTGGTAAAAAGGTTGTTAATCAATCCTCTATGCCATCCTTCACCCCTAAAGTCCATTTTAATGGGAAAGCTGTTGCCCATCCAGGCACATAGCCGCCCTCACCAGCGCGCAGTATACATAAGGAAAAAGGGGAGAGACAACGATGTGAGCAAAATTTATCGACGAGGAAGCTTTTTTTGACGATATAAGAAATTCCTGATGGTATTGTAGCTTATAAACAAATGACTGGAAAATCGTGAACAAACTGAGACGAAAAAATTATAAGGGAGGTGTAGTCCGCTACGTTGCTTAATGTTGCAGATGGTTTGATAAAAAAAAAAGGTTAAAAAGAGTCTTGAAAGACGCCATAGCCAATCCGACCGGAAAAATTTTCCAACATATCTCTGTTATTAAATTACTTTAAAGAAATCTTTCACCCCTGCCTCGGCATTTCTAGTTCCCCTAAATGCATGTTTACGAAAGAGATTCAAAGTTTCCTTGGGTCTGGTCTGAAATAGAACACAAGTGACTTCAAAATGTGCTAAGGACACTGAAATAAGTGGCACACGCGAGGCGCAGCCGAGTGTCATAGATAAATCGCTAAAAATGATTTGAATAATTATGAAGAAAAATTTTGTTAATAGTGACATCAGCTATGAGACTTTCCTTGGATAGATAACTGTAATAAGTTAGAACGAATCCAAATTCAGCAAATTGGATAAAGTAATATATCGACGAATTTTTTTTTCACAGTTCATCTCTCATCCAGTGGTGTATGACTTGCTCAACTATAGGTGGTACCGCTCCTTTTACTCAGAAAGAAAAAAGTCATGGCAAGAACCTAGACGCTGGGGATACCTTTTCCTCAACCTTTGGACAGTGTTTGACATCATCTTCTTTCCCTTCCTCTTTGCTGTTTTCTTCGTTGTTCATTTTTTAAAAAAGGTCTCGAGGAAAAGGAGAGGTTTGTGCTAACGTTTTTTTGAATTTATTAAGGTAGATGCTGAAGGGAGGGGGCGTCTGCGAGGTAAACATTGGTCGAGACACCACTATCAGTATGACATCACAGATCAATTTCACTATAGCGGGCAAGTTTGTCATTTGTTATCTTCGGCGAGATTTGAATTTCAACGATTTGAATGGTTTGATTACTAAATCCTGAGATATTTAAGTCCCAGAGGGCATCAAAGAGTTTTTTTCAGCAGTTTCAATGTAGATAAGCTGTTCTCGAGGTCCATATTTCAATGAAAACCTAAAAAATAAGTGGCTGAATTGTTGGCAATAAATGTTCGATTGGTTATGTTTTTCCGGGGCTCTCGGATGTGACTCGGGAATGTCTTGATACCAAAATAGGATATTTGACAAATTGTGTTTTTTTGTAACTGCGGTCTGCGAAATTTCAAGAGTTCAGTAGTTATGGTTCTTCTCATCAATCCCTTCAAAGTCCCCGTCTAGGCTGAAGAGGAACGTGGAAAAGAAACATCACAGTAGATAGTTAGCATCAGTAGTCAACAGAGGCAAGGTTTCGATATATTTGTTTGGCTCGCTTGCAGTTATGAAGAATAAAATAAATGGGTGCAATATTGTTTTCAGAATAACAAAAGTTATAGAAGAGTCAAAATGTTTTATTTGGGTGAAAATCAAAATTGCTTCCGAATTCTGATTTATGCTAAGGTTAGTTTTAATTGAGCTCAGTTTTTTCAGATCTGAATACATAAATTATTTTACTTTATCATACGGGCGTGTATCGGTGGGTAATAATTATAAAGTTCCATTGTCTCAGTTGGTAAAGCTACAATACAAAGTTTTTTATGGAGCCCCATAAGTGCCATCAAAAACTTACACTCCTTTTTTTTCGCGAATTGATTCTACTCCCCCCATTTTTTTTTCGCGACTTTTTTTTACACTCCCCCATGTTTTTTTGCAACTTTTTTTTTCGCGACTTTTTTTTTGCGACTTACTTTTTCGCGACTGCCACCCACCGCGGGCTCAGAGATGAATGGTGCATACAATCCGTGGCATCGATAGAGAAACTGTATAAAGTAATCAAAATACGTTTCATAATTATCTTTGTTTCGTTGCCACAATCAAGAGCAGTTCTTCCACAATGTATACCTGTACTTTAACAAGGTTACATTGAGCGAGATAACGTGATTGAGAGCTACTTCCAGTTCGGGCTACAATATCAGGAAATCTCGGCTTTCTTTATACTCTCCAACGGAATTGTCATAAGTCTGCGTCAACTAAAGAGAATTTTGGCTTACACTTAGCAGAAGGTATGACTCCAGTGATATCGACGACATTTTATAAGCCGTCAAGACCGAGTTGAGTCTCCTTCGCGCACAAAACATTCCACTTTTGCTTCTGAATTTGATTGGGTTTCATTACATACATCCTTCTTTTTCTTGAAACTCTTGGAATTGTTTGAATTTGCCCAGTGTTTCTCTTGTTGAGAATTCTCTTTAGTACTGGCAAAACCAAAAGCTATCTCGTGGAACTGACCCTCTGTTCCCAGCCACTCAACAAGATCGTTAAAGTCCCAATTCACCCACAGAGGTATATATATATATATATTTCGATTCTTTGCATTATCAGGATTGGTCTCCGAAAATTGTTTTGCGATTGATTAAATATTTCCTGAGATATGCCGCCTCAAAGTTACTCTTTTGGTCACGCCCTTTTGGCTTGGCCGGGAGAGAATTACTGGGCCGAGTCTACTACCTCTCCAACATTCAGTGACCTCACAGCAAGAACGAATGTTAACTTCTTGTATAAGAACATGTGTAAATTGCTGTAAAATGATGTGAAAATGCCGACTCGTTACATGGTCGCTTGTTGCTCAAATACACCAGATTTGTCTAAAGGCATATTCCTCCATAAAATACTGTTTTGCGGCGATGATCGCCCTCAAGCTAGGTCTAGAAGAGAGCAGTGGATCGACTGTGTGAGGAGAAAGCGCACTAAGTTTTAACCTTCAGCAACATCTGTGATATGCTCTCGTCATTTTTCGCCTGAAGACTACTGTTAGCGATTCGATTTTGTAAAAACCCGTCCGCAACTTGTAAAAGACCACACTGTGACGTCTGTCATTCTGCAAATATACGTCTGCGATAGAAATGAAACTCTCGATACGTCTGATCGAAGTCGCTGAAAGGTAAGAAGTTATATAAAGTAGTGCCCGGTCCTGGTATTTTTTTGTCGATCGTGAGGTGAAGTTGTATTTTATGAATGGAATTTAGATCGTACGAGATGCCATAGAATCGCAAGACCCACTTTTCATCGCTGCTATCGTAGTAATCTTCGTAATTTTGTGTCGAGTCCATAGCTATGTTAATATTCTGTTTATAATTTGCTTTTAAAAGTCTCAAGTACAAAAGCCATCTCTTGGAACTGAACCTCTGTTCCCAGCCACTCAACAAGATCGTTAAAGTCAACTTCCTTTAGCTGCAGTTCTAACTTTTGCCTGCTCCACCTTAAAGCAATTTTCGTAGGCAACTTTGTAAAAATCTGCTGCATATTAGCTGCAGCCCGTTTATATGCTTGATGGCCATAAGTCTTCAGTGTTCTCACAATGTTGTGCAAGCTGTCAACAAGCAATCTCAAAATTGATGTGTTTTCATCCTGAACTGCCGGTATCGCCAAACTTATTGATCAGTGACTTTGAAATAAAGGCTGAGGTTTCCAAATCGTTGAGTTAACTCCGCAATAGCCTTTTCATACATTGTACCGTCAAAAAACATCTCAGCTATTGCTTTTTCAGCATTTCCTTTAACTGATGCTTTGAGATAGATCATTTTCTGTTTTTGGAAAGCCGTTAATCACGCACTAAAGCTTTAAGCATGCCATACCAGTTTGGCCATGCACAAGGATCTCCATAAAATACTGTTAAGTTAAATTTAAGGAGTGAGGCCATCATTGTTGACTTTGAAAGGACAGACTGTCAGAAATCCACAGTTCTTTCTTTGCGTGGTAAATGCTTAGAAATGTCATTCTCTTTCTCTTCATCCGTTTCCTCCTCCTTAGGGCTTACCGGTACTTTCTGTAACCATTTCTTAACTATCTGCTTCGACAAATTAATATCTATCATTCATAGGTACATCTTCTTGCTTGATCAGGGGCGTCGTCTCAATCTTTACATTGTTCCCCTCCACCGAGTTATGCTCAAAATCTTTCATGCGATCAGGTAAATTATATTTATCTAACTCTTCTTTTAACAGCAATGCCTCAATTTCCTTCCTACCTGCCTCGTGTTCTGCTTCCTGAATTACTAGTTCTGCTTCAAGCCGAGCTTTTTGTGCTATAATCTTAGGCTAAGCTTCCAATTGAGCTTTCTCTTTGAGCTGTTTTACTTTCAGTTTTCCAAGATCAGCTTTCCTAGCCGCTGCTCTTGCACGTTCTCGCGACACAGAAGATATCGTTTTGCTGCTACGTTCCTTGCTCTGCAACCAAAGCTGGTGACTAAAGAGTTGTCGGTTCGTTCCGTCCGGATTTTTAGGTGCTTTTGGCTCGATGTCAGCTTTTGAGACCGTTTTACTACTGCGAATTTTGACTTCATCATACTCAACAGTTCTACAAATCAGTTCCTTTACAAGTGCTTGGGACTCTAATAACCATCTATCTGCTTCTTGCAGTTCTTCATCATCACCACACTAGGCTTGAAATTCTCTATGATTCTCGATCAATTGATCCCATGCTCGATTTAGTTTAGTACAAGGAAGCTCATTACGCGACTTTGCTAATACAAAAAGGATCGAGGCTGTGTGAAACGGAATGGAAGGGAAGGTGTAAGAAGTTATTGACGGACTTCAGCACGAACCCACACATTGGAAGCAAAAGGTTTTCGTTAAAATTTTGTATATTTAGGGATGTTCAAGGTCATTTTTACATTTTCACATAGATAAATGATCACCTCCACCCATCATAACAAGCAAAAAGGTTTGAAAACAGACAAATTCAAAGGAATTTGCTATGTTTTTGGACTCTGCATCTCATACAACAACAACAAAGATAAAGGCTGCGCGAAGCGACATGCCCCGTGAGCGACCTGGTACTGGCTCGGCCAATCGTGGCATTCATTCTGACCCCAGTATAAGCAAAGTCGCATTTTAACTTATGGTCTTTTTGTTCCTTCAGGCACTCCCTTATGAAATTCATCTTCTGCGTCAAATTTGCTTGCATCGGTTTTCTTATGTTCTTGATTGTCTGAAACTTCGGTTTAATCACTCAAATACAGCAGCAGATTCGTTTCACGTGCCACGATTTCACTTCACTCGTCCACATCTGACACTTCCACATGCAAATTAATAATTTCTTAAGAGGACTTACTTTTTAGTTGTTCAGCGAGACCGTTTTATGGTTGAAATGCTCGTTCAAAATCATCTCTGTCTCTGCCAATTGAGTTAATTGCACTGTGATAAATGGCAACTTTATGTTTCTTCGTTGCATGCCTTACTGGTATACATCCCTGCCCGTATAAGCCCGCCTTGCTCCTTTTGCTTCAGGATGTTTGTCATCCTTTTGTTTTTCAGTTTTCGCTGAATTGGTCTTTGAATCATTAATAAGACTTGCTGGCACAAATGTTTTTTGATCGTAATTGTTAGATTCTTCCCTCTCAGGAGCCACAGTGTAATTGTCAACGTTACGATCAGACACAAAATTTACAGGCATGGTCATAGTTGTGTGCAGTACTGTATAAAGATGCTGTGATGCAGGAAAACTGCGTATATTTTTGTAAGTTAATCAAATAGTGTTGTAATAAGTTAAAATATCTTTTTTATAGAGTGAGTACTACAGCTACAACATGTAGATTTTGATTGGAGAGCAATTGTTTAATACCCAAAGAGGGCAAGTTCTTTTTTCCTCTTACAATTTTGATGGAGTATAAAGAGAATATGGAAGTTTCGAAAAAACTAACAAAGTGCAAAAAACAGCATAAAAAGACAAGGCAGTCATCACAGAATGATAATTAAAATGCCGGGGTGGACTGAAAAGCCAAGAAATGTCAAAAAAGATATCATACAACAACAATAAACAACAATTCTGCTACAAATTTAATTATATACAAAGCACTATAGTTTTATGAATCATTATAACCAACCCATTAATTTTGGCGCGATTTTATCGGTTACTTTACGTCACGTGGTGCAAAATCACAGGACATTTATCACGCAATAACCCCGTCCGCGTCGATATTTGTCCTATGATTTTTTCTGTGATAAAGAAACATAGTCAGTACAAGAGTTTCAACTTTTCCGTTCTCCTGTTTACATGGAAGGAAACGAAACTTTTCTTTTTTTAACTCGTGAATTGTGCGCATGCGCAAGAGCGAGTCGTAGGTATGATGTGATGAAGGGCGTTCGCTCGCTCGGTTGGTCGATTCCTGTAAACTTTTTTATATTTTAGGCTTTTGAATGCATTTGATAGTTTTTGGCGAGTGATAAACAAACGAAATGGCGGCCTTCGTTGCTAAGAATAGTGTTGGGTGAAAAAGAAGCCTATGATAATGTTGAAAGAGTAAAAAAGTATACGTTTTTCATTTGGGAATTAAAGTTTGCCCAATCTCCGAATACACTTTTATCTCTTGCAGCGTATATTTCATTCATGGCGTCAATACTTCTATTTTTGAATGTATATATCCAGGAAAATGATTATTGTGTCCGAAAAAGAAAACAAAGAAAGGACGTTTAGCAAAACACAAAATCTACTCGATTGCGGCGGACTTGTACCACCTACGTCGCTTCCCTAGGAACGATATCTACAGCATTGCTTTTTGCCGAAAGGCCACTTAGGCACCACGTAAAATCATAATGAAACTTTATCTAAATATTAATTTTACATTTAAAACGCTGATCTTTTGGTTATTTCAACCGCGGGCTCAAACGACTCGAGTCGCTGCTCGCCGATAGTCCGATATTGAAGTGTCGCTCACGGCCAACTGCTCGTAAATTAAAGTGATTTCTTTGAGGCTTTTTTGGTATTCCTGGAGCTGTATCGACATTGGAAAGTGGTTCACAAGTGGGAACTTCAGTGAAATAAGCTCAAGCATAATTTCAATCAATCGATATGCTGTTTCTTTAATGGTGTAACTCGCACTGTGTATGCGTATGTTATTAGTGTGAACATCCTTGTACTTGTTTTCATCCTCGGAATAATAACTATCTCAGAAGTGCGAAATAGGCTACAAGCGCGGTACTCAGTTGTAACACAAGCATAAGCATAAACATAAGCGAATGCGCAGGTGGGCACAGCAGCAACATAAACATAAGAACAAGCGCTCAGTCGATGTTATGTTAAATAGCGGGGATATGGTTGGTAAGCAGTATAATGTTTCCTGATAGCCTGAAAGTCTTTCGCTTATGTTTATCCTTACGCTTATGCCAACCAAGTCTTAACTAGACAATATAAGCACAAAAAGAAGGCAACGTTTTGATAATCCTTTGCATATATGCTTATCCTTATTTCCGTGCGTTCCATCCGGCGTATAAGCTTTTACATTCCTATCCCTTTGCTTGCATCGCAAGTAAATACTGAGCTCAATATTGGAACAATAGTTTTATGGTAAACAAAACAGCACCCTTTTGAACTTTCTTTCCACAAACCTATAAAGTAAAATCTGGAACAGTGATTGTCTTACACTAAATCCTAATCAGGCCATATTTTCTGTCTTTGAGGCCTAATTTAGTTTCACATCATAATCCTCACAATGCTCATTTACCAGTCTAACGATCCATACCCTAGTATGGAAATCAAATACCCATTTCTATTGACAACACAAATTACATTGACTTCTCCAATTCACGAGTTGGCTCACAGAGCCTTTGATTTTTGCTTGTTTGCGTCAATCACGCGCATTCGCCATCAGATCACCACTGGCTTTTTTACTGTGTTTACGCTCAGTTTAATTGCGATGTGAAAATTAATGGGAAGGTTCTGAATAAATAACCCCCGTTCTGGCTTGTTAGTATGTCGGCTGAAAATGTCCTTGGCTGAGAGATTGTCCTCAAAAATTTCATATTTGCCCTCGAAGCCTCGCTTCTCGGCCAAATATTCATTTTTCGGACAATCTCTCAGCCGCGGACCTTATCAGCCGACATACCAGCCGCCCGAAGGGTTTATTTACTAATTATATGAGTATTTGATATTCAAAACAGTAAAACGCCAACAACAGGACAATGAAAAAATCAGCAAACTAAATAATAGACAACGAATCTGGCAATCAAAACTTTACCACACAAGTAAACACACTTTGGTCATAAGAAATCTACAAAACAAGCCAATAGCCTTTTCTGTCACCAGATTACGGGACAGGTCAACACTTTTTCGATTTCAGAAACTAATAATGCAAGCTAATGACCTTCCGGTCACCAGATAAACCCTTTAACTCCCAGAGGTGATAACATGAAACTTCTCCCTATAATATCCACACTTTATTCAACAAACAGGTAATGTTATCAGAGGGGGTCTTTTGGATTTTCGGTTTTGCGGTTTTGACTGATTTTTCGATCGGTTTTTGGGCCAAAAAGGTTCGGTTTTTCGGTTTTGATGTTCAGAGCGGTTTGCGGGCTTTACGTGTTTTTGCATCAGGTTTTCATTTTTCACGAAAACTCTGATGCGGTTTTCGGTTTTTCCTTTTTGACCCCTTTAAAGGTGACAATGTAACAGTTTTGTCAGATTTGCAAGCGGTTTTCGGTTTTGCTGCCTTTTTTCGTCGGTGTTTCGGTTTTGGAGGTTTTATTCTCCGGTTTTGCGGTTTCCCAGAGGCCCAAATGCCCCCTCTTATCAGGTAGAAGTTATCTACCTGATAAGAGGGAAATCTGTAGCAGCTTGAGGGGAGAATTAACAATCAGATCTTGGGAGTTACAGGGTTAAGGCACAAGTCTATAGCTGCGATTTACAATAGAAACCGGGAAAAAACTAATCACAGAAGCACAAAGGGCGTTTAAAATAAAATGCCACAAGCGAAAAGATAAACACGAACCATCAAGCTTACAGTAAACAGAATCTTTGGCTCTGGCTGAGGCCTTTCCAACACTAGCAGACGAGATAAGTAAATAACCGGTGCTCACTCCTACTAAATATAACGGCCACCTTTTATTTGAAAGGATTGATTAGCAAAAAGACTCATTGGATTCACCTCAAATAACAATGAGTACGATCTTACATTAAAAAGGAATAAAATGTCTTTAATGGGGTGGACTTGTCCAAAGCTTATAGAGAAAACGGTGTAGTCGTTTTGGTTTGTTTTGACATGTATCGAAGTAAATAGGACGGTCATCTGCACTCGCCTTGAACTGCATTCAGTGAAATTACAAACACTTTCACAAGACAATAAACAGTTAAAGCCACAAACGAGATAAACAGCAAAGCTTGCACACCCAAGGCAAATTAGTTGCTTTCAACGAACTAGGAGCCTGTGATGTTCTTGTCTTTGTTAGCTAGTATATCTGTCCTCAAGCTGGACTGGGCAAATTTACCGAAGCGCTTCTGCTGCTACTATGTGATGCCATACTGGCAGTGGTGTCTCAACGGCGGCTTATACCAGAGAACATTAGAGTCGCATCCCCCCTTAAAACATGGGAACAATGGAGTCACCCGCTCCCTCCTGGTAGTTGATATCGCACAGAAGATGGTAATGCGTTTCATTTTTGGTAGCAAGCTTTCTGGGAGTCAAAAGGTGTGGATCTGGAGGGGGGAACGGTGATAGCATTGGTCCATAAACCGAGTTAGCACACAAGCTAAGTCCTCTTAACTGACATACCACATGAATCCTTGCCAGAACAAGGAAACATACTACCTTGCAAGTAATGCGGCTATGATTTTCTGCGTGACCATTCCAGTCTTACTTGAAAAAGCTCACCTTAAGTCGACATTTCGGCTGATAATGGTCATTCATGAAACGTTTTCACAAGAGAGCACATAGTTTTATTTCAAATGGGTTTTGGCCAATAAGCATTCTGTGGCTGGTTACGCGCAGTTTATGCCCGTTCTCAGTTATATGTTCCCACCAGAACATAACAGTCACAATAATTGTTATGATTGTTATGTCGCTACTGGAATTAAGTCTTGGAATATTTAATTAGATAACAACAGTATTGAGAAGTTGTTGAGATGCCGGATGTCAGTTTTGTTTTTGTTGTTGTTGTTTTTTTAGGAACCAGTGGTTTGATTGCACAGGTTCTGATACTCTCTTTACTTGCAGGAGCTAAAATCTGTTTTGTTTTGACGCTGCGCGAAGGGACGCCATCAAAAGAGTTTGATCTGATCAAAAGTACGATGAGCCACGTGGTTGGAAAATATGGCTTTCACCCTACCAACTACTGCGTGATTTTACATGACAAAGAAAGACTGATTGGTAACATCAAATTTGGACAGGAGTGTTCAAAATCTATGCTAACGGAATTACCAAAGCCAAACTCGCCTAGTTCACTCTGTGAAGATCTCAAGGCCGCTTGTCGTGCATTCGAAAGTCAAAACATTTCAAATAAAGCTAAACAGGTAAGTTAGACGCGCGTGCGACCAATTTCCGCAGCTCTGTCGAGTTTGGTAAGTCACAGGAGGCCCAAGTGTATTGCGTGTGATCTTGGGGTCTAAAGGTCGTTAACGGGAATACCTAACATATGAAGATCGAATTTAAAGCGTCAAATGAGCGTGGACCGTTAAAAAAAGGAAAAATTATAAAAAAAATTAATAAAATATTAAAAAGGATGATAAAAGCGAGGAATGTACGTATGAAGTCTCCTTACCTTTTTTCCGCGGCCGCTTTGTCACTTACGGTCCTTTTAACTCTATTTTGGCGACTTCCTTTGTGACGCGTGTGGTGCAACCAGTCAACTGTGTTTTTCTTGATAAAGTTTATTGGTAGCACGAGACGCGTTACCGCCCAGCTATCGAGCCTTAGTAAGGTAATACTTTCCTTTGTAAATTCGGTTACATTTCTATCAGGTACCGAGCAGGAACGAGAGTGCTTCCCACTGTATACTCAGTTAGAACGATTTTTGCTCACAATCACTGCATTTAACTTGTGCCTCTTGCACTGCCTGAAGTTATGAAAATTCAACTTAGATTGATTATGATTACTGCACGCTTCACTTGATATCTGTTAGAAAAAAATTTCAGCTTACTGTTTCCCCCAGAAAAAAAAAAAACAAAACATAAAGAGTGTAGTGGCATTTTCAAATACTCTTACAAAGAAAGCAATGGACAAAATACAAGAAACAAACCCTAAAAACTAAGAGATAAGAAACTAAATATGTTAAAATGAGTGGCGTAACCAATTGCAAAGAAGAAAGGCTGATAGTTTTGAAAGAAACTGTTTGGGGCTGCGTCGGTGGGAGTAACGAAATAATTTGGATATATCAACAAGGTTGAAATGGTAAATTGGCCACCGTAACGATTACAAAAGCTGACGTTTCGAGCGTTAGCCCTTCGTCGGAGCGAAAGAAGCAACGCGGCAAAAGAAGCAACGCGGCAAGCAAGAAAAGGGGAGGCCCACTTTTAACTACAACTGTAAACCGTAACAAAATCCCAAAACAAGGCCTTTGGAGCCCGAAAGGGCAAATTAGCAACAACATTTAAGGGCCCCTCCAGGGATTTTGTTGCTAATTTGCCCTTTCGGGCTCCAAAGGCCTTGTTTTGGGATTTTGTTACGGTTTACAGTTGTAGTTAAAAGTGGGCCTCCCCTTTTTTTGCTTGCCGCATTGCTTCTTTGCAATTGGTTACGCCACTCATTTTAACATATTCAGTATTCTTATCTCTTAGTTTTTAGGGTTTGTTTAATGTATTTTGTCCATTGCTTTCTTTTTAATTAGGTTTTTTGTTATCTTTTTATTAGCACCATGTCATTAGTTGTTATCTGTAATTACGTAATCATTAGCACTTCGATCTTATTTAATGCTATCTTTTTTTTATTTCAAAAGTTGTAATTATCTGAAGAAGGTCTCGGACCGAAACGCTTTTTATTAAATTTTTTATATTTTTGACGTCAGAAGTTGTCCATCCTTGCAATTTTTAAACTTTCTACGTTCGTGTTTGCTGTGAGGTTTGGACTGCGAATCTTTTATGATCCTCCTGGCGCGGTGCACCTTTGTTGGCCTGAGAGTTCCACTAACGACTCCCTATATATATATATATACACACACACACACACACATATATATATATATATATATAATACTATTATAATTAACAATTATTCGCCGAAGGCGAGGTGAATATCGTCGAATAATTCCCGAGACGAAGTCGAGGGGATTATTCGACAAGATTTACCGAACCTGAGGCGAATAATTGTTTTAGTATAATTTCAGAGCTGAACAACAAAGAAATTTCTAAGATCATAACATTTTAGTAACATTTATTAACATTTTATTTTTACATTTTATATAAACCGCGTGGAGCGGTTTATATAGCGTCATATAACGAATCACTCGACCAATCAGATTGCTGGAAACTCTTTGCTCAGCTGTAAAACTATACTAATAACTGAATAAAACTCAGTCAAATTGGACATAATTATATTTACAGTATATATATACTATTTTAATAACTGAATGTAACTCATGAATAAAGGCTGATAGTTTCGAAAGAAACTGTTTGGGGCTGCGTCGGTGGGAGTAACGAAATAATTTGGATATATCAACAAAGTTGAAATGGTAAATTGGCCACCGTAATGATTACAAAAGCTGACGTTTCGAGCGTTAGCCCTTCGTCGTTCNTTGGATAATAAATAACTTATTAGACGTTTTGTTGTGTAGTATCGCTGAGTATTTTAACTCGTTATTTGTATTTTGACTTGCCCTACAGGCTCGTCAAAATACGGCACAACTCGTAAAAATACTCAGCGATACTACACAACAAAACGTCTAATAAGATATATCAGTTATCAATTATTGTGAAGACAGATTGATTAAATGGCTAGTCAGACAGAAAGATTCATATTTAGAAGAATCAGTTCGCGTTGAAAGTGATTTTTATTTGTTTTTCATCGAAGTTTTCAAGCAGTCCTTTTTTTATAACGCTAATATAGTTTTCAAGATCGACAAGTCTCGGTACATAATTGACAAACCTTGTAAGTTGGTTTTTGAGAACTACAGCTGTAAATATCATAATTTCAATTAATTTTTGTTTTCTTCATCAGGTGCTCGTGCTCTTTCTCAATGACTTGAAGCACAGGGTCAAGAACGAAGGTGACGATTCAGAAAAATATCGAAAGGAATTAGAGAAGAAGCAAGTTAACATTGTTCCAATCGGTATTGGACAGTACGCCAAATTATCAGAATTGAAAAGGATGCAAACTAAAGATGGTACAGCAAGTCACTTTGGAGAACACGAGTTACCCGAGACGTTAGGGACGGCAATCATACAAGGTAAAGTAGGGATATTCAATATTACGAGATGAAAACACCCTGCCCAGAATGATTTTTTCCAATTTAGTTTTGGAAAGAACAAGAAAGTGTTACATCCCGGTATAACTCGAATTGAGTAAGGTTTTAAGCGGTGACATATTTTTAAGGTTCCAACAATAACACACTATGATCTTTCTCCACTGCGTGGAAGTGTCACTGCCTTTATCATTTAAATGTTTTTTTTTTTCTTACAGGAATCGAAGGAAAGGATATATACGGTGAGTACTGGCTATTTTTGGTGGCTAGATTTCCAGAGATCGTTCATGAATTTTTAACTTGGAGTTTTTACAGGCTATCTGTGCTCTCCGAGTTTTTTTCGAGATTCTCCACTCTAAGCTTGCGTCTCAATCATTGTCTTTCAGAGAATTACATGGATTACTTTACGACTCCTTATTTCGTCTTTTTTCGGGACACCGTGAGCTATCTTACTCTTCTTGGTCTTCACTTCGCCATTTGCCTGTCTCCTTCAACTGTGTCTTTCAGTGGACTAGAATGGTTCGTCTTAATTTTCTTTATGGGACGCATTTTAATGGAGGCGGATCAGTTTATCAGCTCTAAAATGGAACGGAAAAGGAGTGATGAACCCAAACAAACAAAAAATGAGGCGGGATATATCTTTCCGAAGAAGCTTATTAGCTACTTCAGGTATATTAATTTCTGATAGGCCTTTTTGTTTTTCGGACAACACTAGTTTTACATACACGCAGGTGACATACATCTATCATGCAGATGACGTACATTCATATGAGCAGTGACTAGGGTAACAAAATGGACCACTATTGACTGCTTTGGTGCAGCAGTATGGGTCACTGTATATTGTTTAGAGCTGTATGAATCACGATAAAGGGGACCATTTTCAATGCTTTGGTGTATGATACCTGGTAACTTCGTCGCCAGGAAGACTCGCCACCAAAGTGTAATCGATCTCGCCGCCAAGGCGTGTTACCTCGGCGTGTTACCACCAAACACTCATCCAATGGCGATTGTTGTCAGTGTATTAAGTATAGTTATTGCATGTTCGATTAAATAGAGATACCTTTGCTTGAGCTCCAACTTGATCCTCGTTGTTGTTATGGGGTAAAAAGTTAAGAGGACCTCTTTGTGAGCTTTCAAAATACTGGATTTTTTCGACAAAAAAGTGCATGCGATCAGTAGCATTTCTTGTCAATCTTGTCGTTTGTTCGTTTGATTAAAAAGTTCCGGTCACTTTGGTTCGCTGTTCCTTAGATCAACATTCTAAATGTTTACAGGTTAGACGTCCTTGCTCGATAATCCGTATTGTATCTTCTTTGATCAGATCTAATTATTGGCTTTTCGATCGTTACGCTCATTTGACTCACCTTCCGCTATCTTGAAAAAACTATTGAGCCTTCAGCACGGCTTCGCAGCATTGCCCATGGCATTCTTATTGCGATACTCATGAGACTCAAGATCACACCCAAGAATCGCCTAAAGCTTTGAATTTGTACCAAATAAGCTAGCGACCTTGGTGGCGTGATACCTGGTAGTGGCGGGGTGACTTGATATTGGCGAAACTGCCTTGGTGGCGAGTCTTTCCGATGGCGAGATGACTGTAAACCGGGTGTATCAACAGGAGCCATTATTATACAACTACCTTCCGTAGGGTACAAATATCATGCGCTATTTGTATCACAGAGAACCGGTTAGATAGGTTTTCTTGCATCGCGCAAGCGACGAATTGGAGTGTAATAACCTTTTAAATCATTTTCTGTTTAAAAAATGTAGCAACATATAGTGTGCATGCTAGAACCGATTCTTTTGGAAATGAATGATCAAGTGGTAGAAAAATGGAGATTCTGGCTCACCTAGAGACAACCTTGATTTTCAAGGCAACTCATGAAGACAAAACTGTTTCAAGGTTGTCTTCAAGTCAACCTTGAATTTTCAAAATGAGTTCTGAGACATTTGTTAGACAACCTTGATTTCAAGGCAACACATGAAGACAGCCTTGATTTCAAAATGAGTTCTGGCTCATTTTGAAATTTCACAAGTTCACTGTGTGAAATTCAGAGTCACACCTTTGCTTATCACGCCTGAAGTGAACTTGTTTGATTCAATGTCTTTCATGGTTTCATACAACAGAATCGCCATCAATATTGCTTCTTTTTATGAAGAATAAGTGGTGTGCCTTGATTTGTACTTCTGTCAAAAGAGCGTCTTTGCAAATGAGAAAAGTATGACAGTCTGAGTATAAATTGAACATCATTTCCACCTCGTTCAGCTCACCAGAAACATAGGGATATCTCACATTTTTTGTAGAGTCATGTTTCTTCTCCTTCAAGCCAACAGGCTTTGAATGAGTGTTGAACTTTTTGCGTCAACCACCTTTTTTTTTATTACATCAACAGGTTTCTTTCCTGCCAATCTTGTTTCTTCACGATTCAAAGCCAGTACAACCTCTGGAAACCTCTTTACTTATTCTCTTGAAGTTCGATTGAATCACTCAACTATTCCTTCATCTCTATGAAGAACTTGATTAAGAACTTATTCAATTTCTTATCATATACTTAATCAGTTTCTTCACAAATACCATCTATTTCTTTACACCGACCGAAGGTTACAAGAGGCGCACTCGCCATTGTCATGTACTTTCCATATCTCAGACTACCGGCAATCATTCCGAGTTCTCTCTTTACCATGAAGTTATCGTTAAAGTCCTCCTCAATGAATAATTTCTGTTTATTCGCAATTTAACTAAGAAGTGAAAAAGAAATAAAAGAGGTTATCCCTTTCGAGTTTACCTCCTCCTAAAAATAATTTTAAAAATATTTACGTCTGATTTAAAGATAGAAATTGATAACTAAATATTCGCGAAAAACAATATAGATAATATTTGAGTCTCTTCTTAAAAATTTTGATATTATTCGCCTCGGCAACTTCTTTTGGTAAATTATTCCATGCATCAATAATATTGCGTATTTCACAGAAACACATAATGCTTGAAATCGAAAACTCAACCAAACCAGTTAGGGGGGTTTTCGACTGTACGAGCTTAGAATCTTCTAACAACAACAATAATTCGCGGTATCAAAAATGTCGGTATAAACACGACGATTTTCTTTCAAGAGCAGATGGGAAAATTCCCGGATGTTTTACCTAAAACATAGGTCCGCAATGGGAGCTACAAATTATACTTATGAAAAAGAATATTTAAAAATATTTAAAGTTGCGGATGCAGACATAAGTTTAAAAAAGTGGTTAACTCTTAAAGGTCGAAAATCACGTGCGAACGTAAAAAATGCTGAGGGGTCTAGAACACGAAGCCTGTTTATTGTCTTGTAATTTGATTATATCAACTAAGTTGAAATTGGAAATTGGCCACCGTAACAAGTAACATTCAGTAAGCGAGGAAAATAATCTTCTTTGATGCAGGGTTGGTCATCTAAGGAACTTTAGACGTTCTTCATAGGACATGTCGCTTCCATTGTTACTAAGGGCACAATTAGACGCTCTACGTTGTACTTTCTCTAACACGTGTAAATCTTTTTTGAGGTGTGGACACCAAACTGGAGAACAATACTCCAGTATTGGACGCACTAGACTCTTAGAAAGTTTCGAAAACAAATCAGGATATTTGGGACCCACTGTTCGTCCTATAAATCTAAGCACACTATTAGCCTTATTTGTGCATTTGTTGGCTTGCAAGCTCCATGACAGATTTGAAGTAATGTGAATTCCAAGATCCTTAACTTCAGATACAGCTTTCAAATGGTTGCAATATAGATGATTTGGAGGACTTGAAGTGTCATCCATTTTAGAAATACGAATTACTTTATTTCGCATTTATCGGCGTTAAATTTCAATTGCCACTCGTGCTCCAAGGTTCAAAGCGAGCAAGATCTTTCTGAAGCTCGTCCACATCTTCATTAATATCCCTCAATACCCTGTACACCTTCATATCATCTGCAAAGTTTTGTGTGTGACGAAATGTTTCTTGAGATAGCATTAATATAAACGAGAAATAAAATGGTTCCCAACACGTTTCCCTGGGTTACAGCGGACAAAACGGAGGTCCTTGATGGATAATAGGGAGCTTAAGCAGGAGAGACTTCGGGGACGACACCGCCGTCAGATTCCCGACGGCCTTGGTTTGACGTCGTCGCTCTCCCGCCAAATGTTAATTTGTTAAGCACGGAAGCTGTTTTGCCAGGACGCGGCCATCCTCTGTTCCTGATATATTTTTGTTTCTGCTCCAGTTATGGCCAGTTTTAAAGAGTTTCGTCAGACCCTTCTTCTCTACTACGATGCTGATCTTATTAGTGATGAGGATTTTATAATCTCGTACGACGCGTTTTCCTCACGAAATCCAGATTTTCCTTATGATTCGTACGATCACTTTGACTTGGATAACATGAACGACGACGAATGCATAGCCGAATTTAGAGTGAGGAAAAGGGATCTTCCAACACTGGCTCAAGTTCTTAGGATTCCACCGTCATTTCAACTTTCGCAGATAAATAATTTCCTAATAAGCTTACTTACCATTTGGGGGGAGATTTGGTGCTCGTTGCATCCTTCTCCGTGGCCATTTCTATCTTCCAAAAACTGTCTTAAAAAGGCACAAACTGCTCTTAAACTAAAGTAAAAATATAACTGAACATCGATTGAAATCGTGTGAACCACATAGAAAAGTTGAAAAAAACTACAAAAGCCATGAAATCTCATAAATCACTCACATTTCACGACGCTGTCAAATACCTAAAACTCACGTCGTCGCCGGAAGGAGGACGTCGTTTGTCGAGGGTATGTCATGCGCAATGGACCTTGTCCCAGTCTCAACTGCTCATTGACGGCGGCGTCGTCTTCAAAAGTCCTCCTGCTTAAGTTCCCTAATGTCCCCGTAGAGCGATTCGCTGGTATCAATTTGTTAAGAAGCATCAAAGCCAAGACAAGAGTGGATCGCGGATACCATATGCGTGTATCTTTGTCATGAGGCGTTCGTGAGGGAGCGGGTCGAAAGCTTTTGAAAGGTCTGAAAAGATGACATCAGTCGTCAATCCTTTGTTTCTATCACGGGCCCAATCGTGAAACAAAGATAATAGTTGAGGCAAATAAGGTTTCCCTTTCAAAAAGCCAAATTGCTCTGGAATAAAAATCTCATAAGTTGTCCAAAAATGAACAAGATGTTTTCTCACTATCATTTCACACACTTAACACACCACCGATGTTAGCAAGACAGAACGGTAGTTCTTGCGGACGTTTTTATCACCTTTCTTATGCAAAGGGGTAATATCAGCCAATTTTTAGCCACGCGGCAACATACCCGACGCAAAGGATGCATTAAAAATGTCACTAAGTGATGAAGCCAAAGTTCCAGCGCATTTCTTTAATATCATGGGATGGATGTTATCCGGACCAGCAGATTTACGAGATTTCAACTCGCTTAGAACCTTGTTAATATCCGTTGGTGAACAGTGCAGAAGGCTAATGCCCGAATCTCTGATAACTTGATCAAATGATGGAAACTGAATTTTCAGAGTTTTCACTTGTAAAAGATGATGCAAAGTATTCGTTCATGTAATCAGCCATGTCACTTTCGTTTGTTAGCATGTTGCCATTGTGGCTATGAGTTGTATCAGTCATCCAGTTGAGAGTATGAAAAAAAGAAAATAATTCAAATACTG